TGTATGTGATTCTGTATGCCCCCCTCCCCTCCCCTTGTTTTGAATCTGATACCACCCCTTCTACTTAGTTTTATTTGTGTCAATGTGGACCATGGCACGGCGTGCTGATGAGCTCGCGCGGCGGATGCAACGGGGTGGGTTTAGGGTGTGCACAAACACCAACCCTTGTGTGTTGTAGATATATGTAGATATCTCATACCATATAATTTATGCAGTAGTTGTTGTCCCCAGTATGTCACGGAAAACGAATAAGCGTAGCAAGAAAAACCTTGTAAAAAATGTTCCTGTTTGCCTCAAGTTTTCCTTAGAAAAAAATTGACGTTGCTTATGTCAACCTAACTAGGCACACGGGGGCATTCTGAACCACCGCTTCCTTCAAACGCGCTGTCAAGTCTGTCAAGGCGCTGTCGCTGTTGACGGGTCTTCATCCTTTCATTTCCCATTGCAACGACGTCATTGTTTGTGACGGCTGTATGCTCCAAATTCTGTCAGCTTCCGGTCCGAGCATTTGCCGATTCCGAGGATCAATAGTACAGTTTATTTGCTGGCTTTACAACGATGTACAACGATGGAAAAACGGATGGGAACTCAAAGCGAAAAGAATGGGGGAAAAATGAAAGTAAAAGAAAACTTGGGAATACGAGACAAATAAGTTAAGTACAAATACAGCGCTCAAAGCGGGGGAGTTCAAGGGAACTCAACTCACTGTAGAGCAGGGACGATGGGGGAGCAGATCATCGCTCTGGATCCATTTCATCCAATAGCGTGAGCATCTCACGCATGCTAGGGCGGAGGTAATCAATGGAGTCCCAACAGCGATCCAGAGTATAGTATCCCAAAAGACATCCACGTTCTTGACTTGGACCAGGCAACATGCTCCCCTGGTAGGTTTGACTCCTCGAATGATATCCACAGTTACAGCATGGTCGTTTGTTCTGTGAGGATAGGGAAGCTGTCCAGTTGCTACCTGCATGCACACATGAGTCACATATGCAATCGGTTAAGGTAGAAGGCCAGACATACCTTAAGGCACACCGAAGCAAATGCGTACACATCACTAAACGTTGTAATGGGAGGAATTTGCCCATCGTCTTCCACCAGTGCCATAATAAGCTCTGGCGCCATCCACCTGGTTGACCCGGCAAAGAAAGATGTTCCCTTGCTGATGGTCTCGGACATTTCCTCGATGACCTTGGAGAGCCCAAAGTCGGTGATGATCGCATATCCACGCTCATCGACCAGAATGTTTCCCTGAGTTGGGGGTCAGCGGGGAGCGGGAAAGGACGAACAAAGGGGCCTGACTCCTTTCAAGTCCCCATGGACAATGGTAGGCCTGAATGTATGGAGATAGGCAATGGCAGAAGCCACCTGGGCGAGCTACAACAATAGTTAGGTGACGAAATTCGGTGGATAACATGGAATGCGTACAAGTCTTAATCGATTCACGCTCGGGAAATGCTCCAGATAGTTGCAAAGCGTCCCATGTTCGCACCAAGGCGAGACCATGCCAATGCTCTGTGAGAGATGTACTATCCCAAAAAGCTGGGACACGTTGCGATGACATAGACGGTGCCAAGCAATAACCTCCGATTGAAGTCGCTAACGAACCATCATGTCAGCTCCAAACATTCCAGCAAGAGAAGTATTACATACCTTGATGAGCTTCTCTCGAACATTTTGTACCATGACTTGACGCAGGACCTTGATGGCAACCTGAACGATGTCGTGAGCTGATCTTGCACCATAACACCACAAAGATACTTACCGGCCGTGGGCGTCTCTCAATCGGATCGTTCCAAGTACCTTTCCATACGTCAGAGAACGTTCCATGAGCGACAGCCGCATCTCCCTTCACAACTTCATCGGTAAGATCAGTCAAGATCACAGACCCTTTCACGACCAAAGTCTTGGTGACCGTCTCCTGCAAAAACTTTTGTCGACATCGTTACTTCAATCGGCTATAGTCCTGATGCTCTTGGATCCACCTGAACTCGTCGTACGATGATATGGAAAGTGCAACGGTCCGGAGGGAAGAGAAGTAGAGGAAGTGTGGGTAAGTTTGGAGGATCATGGTATTTCGGAGATGGACGTCTGACGCAGATTCCAAGCCAACGTCTATCCAGATCGTTGATCGGCCAGTCTGGCGATGGGTGGAGGTTGATGAACACTGTTCGTTTGCCGTGCCGAGAATGTAAAGAGCAAGAGTCGGGAAGACGGGGAAAAAGAGATCACAGCATTCCCTGATGAATACAACGACAACGTCAAATCTTCATCTGCACTTTGAGAGAAAGATGGTTAACTCACGGATCCTCGTCGAATCCCTCATCCAAACTACCGAAACAGCAATCTGCAAGAATGAACTCCTGGTCCTCGCAAGCAATGCCAACGCAGACCTCTGCTTCGCATAAGCGCCAGCAATACAGGTTCATTACGTCTTGAAAAGTATCCACAGACCACCCTATAGGCAACCGTTGGTCTGAACGCGACCGTATCACCCCATCTGCCCAAGAATGCTCCAAAAAGTCGATGAATCCACGCAAAATGAATCGCTTGCGGAGCTGGGCGATGAGGGTTCTATAAGCATTGAAGATTTGTCCGTCTTTGGGCTCCTCGTAGCCCGACTTCTCAAGGGTGACACATCTGGCGGTATGCTGCGCTGTTGCGGAAACGAAGAAAGACAAAGTATTTGCGCAAGGTCTCGACATCCCGTCGATTAAATGGTATGGATCTCTTGGTGTCTTCCTCGTTCCACACAGTTCGGTCCAGAGGATCGGTCACCACCGACCGAGCATCAGACTCAAGCTTCGTAAAGCTTTCCTCGGCTTCTTTGAAGATTTTCTGAGTCTCGACATCAAGAAAGCCGGACCGTCCTTCGCAAGGAGCCCCTCCTGCTGCTCAACTTGACCCTCCTTCCTAAGCTGATCCTCCTCAACCTGGCCCTCGCTCTCAACCTGACCTGCCTTCCCAAGATGACCCTCATTCTGGCTCTCGCTCACAGCCTCCTTTATTTTCTCCAATAACTCCGGCCCTGTCACAGCCGAATTTACATTGGCATCTGGGCTAGTAGTTGCATTTGCGTTTGTGTTTGCGAGGGGGAGGAGGTTTCCGGTAGGGCTCGCAGCCGCATTTGAGTTCGTTCTCCCATTCGCGTTCGCGTTCCCGTTGACATGTGCCTGAGAGTTCCTATTCGCATCCACGGTTTGTGAGGGGGAGGAGGTTTCCGGTAGGGCTCGCAGGCGCATTTGAGTTCGTGCTCCCATTCGCGTTCCCATTGACATTTGCCCTGGAATTCCTATTCGCATCCACGTTCCCATTCAAATTCAAATTCGCACCCCCACCCCCATTCCCGCTCGCACTACCCCTCACACCCACCCCCGCACCCCTCCCCAAATCCAAACTCGTCGTCTGGACAAGCACGATCCCCGTATCCGCACCCAAACTCTTCTTTCCCCCAACACCAACAACACTCCCGGCATTCGACCTAAACCCCACATCGCCCCCATCCCCCACACCGATGAACATAGCCAGTCTAGGCGGGGTAGGCGGGACGTTGGCGCGCGTTATGAGGCCGAAGGTGGTTCGGTGGGTGTTGCCTGCCCAGGCGAACTTTGACGGTGTTGCTTGGTGGTTGTAATTCTGATTCTGGAGTGGAGTGGAAGTGGGGTCGAGGGAGAGGGAAAGGGAGGTGGTGTCAACGAACAGAGGAAGGGAATATGGTAAAGGTGAAAGCGAAGAAGAAGCAGGGAGGGAGAGAGAAGCGACACGTTCCAAAATGGGTGGAGCGTCTGGATGTTCGCCTACGATTGACGCTGCTAGTTCTGCGAGTGCTGTGATGTGGGGTATGTCTGATGTTGGGCGAAGCTCTGAGTCGTCTGTGGTTGTTGTGTTTTCGTCAGACTCGGAAACGACTTGTCCGTCTTTTTCTGCCTGAAGCTGAAGCTGAAGAATGAGTTTTTCTCCAGTCTTCGATGAAGAAGAAAGGGAAGAGGAAGACGGAAGACCCGATGCGAGGTTGAGGTGTGGTAGGGCTTGTTGTAAAGGGAGTGTCATGGACCTACGATGGGTCGAAGGCGTACGTGCAACTGGAACGGGTAAAGCATCGTCTTTCTCAGTCTCGGAATCAGCTTGCTTCCCGTCGTCGTCTTGACAAGCGGAAGTTTCATAAGCACCTCCTCCCTCCAGATCCTCCTCCGAAATCACAGCAAGCGCCAAAGGAGGAGGAGGACCGATAACCACATCCTCCACAGACACACCGCTATGCACAGACCCAACGACCGAAATAGGCCGGTGCGGTAACGGTTTATTCCTATCCGTCGGGACCGCACTAGTGACGAATTTACTCAGATAATCAAGCGCAGTGAGTCTTCTCCAATCCTTGTTGCCTTTCGCGCTCGTGTTCCCGCGTTCTAGAGTTGAAGCCAAGGAGGCCTTGGAATCGCGCGATACGCGAGGGAGTAGCGAGTCCATTTTCTCCGTGTATGTACTGTTGGTGTAGGAGGATAAGGAGAGGGAGAGACGCCCGACTTTGGCTAGTGCTTCTAGGATGTCGATGGCTGTTATCCTGCGGACTTCTTTGTGCGTGGGTGTTGTTGGGTGTTCTTTTGAGGGGTGGGGTTGGTAGGGGAGTGTTGGAGTTGAGGAGAGGTCGAGGGAGGGGAGTTTGATGATGGATGTGTCCTCGAGCTGGGAGGGGAGTGTCAGTTAGTTGGTTGGGGGATGGGATGAAAGAGACGTACATCGAGCTCCAGATCAGAGTCTGTGGTCGTGTTTGCTGGGTCTTCCGGCTGTTGCCGCTGGTCCTGGTCCTGATGTTGAGACGAGGTCGAGGCAGTCTTATTGAAATATCCAGCCGTCAGCCTCCATTTAGCTTTCGCATTCGCTTTCGAGTGTGGATGCGATGCGATGCCCCCTTCCTAAATACGATCCAATGGCGGTGACGACACAATGGAACGGAAAAGGAAAGGATACACACCTCGTCCGCGTGCTCTGCCTTCTCCATGACCCCCATGTTCTGTAACGTACGCACAGCATAGCGCTTAGCGTTCCCGTAGTACTTTACCGTCAGCCGCTCGAATTCGTCCAGCTTATCGTCGATGTCGTCCCACCGCCGTGGGATGGCTGATTTCAGGCGGTGCGTTAGGTGCTGGGCCTACCAACATTGAGTAGAAAAACAAATGAAAAGCAAGCGGAACGTACGTTATGATTACCAACAGCAGCACCAGCAGAGGTAGACGACGTGGACAACTCCCCCTCAGAAGCAGCCACAGCAGCTGCAGATTTAAGATCAGCCTTGTCAAGACGTCGAGCAGCTTTGACGAGTTTGAAGAGGGACCGAAAGATCAAAGCCATAGCCGCGAAAATGATGAGCGCGATAAGGATGTATCCGACTATAGTTTGGTCCGATGCGTGTGGGTACGCGGACGCGCTAGCCGCCAAGGAAGAGTCGACGCCAGGCATACTAGAGAAAAGCGAGTGTAATTATAAAAGAGTGTGGGTGGGACTATTCAAGCCGACTCAAGGTAGGAGAACAAGGAACGATAGAGAACCGAAACTGCGTTCGAAGCAGGTTTTTATCATTTTGGAGAGATGCCAGCCACCAGGATTTCATTTCAGACTGTTGGAGGTAAAGATGAGCGGTGTTTGTTCATGTTACACTGCTACGACTACCACCACGATGAATTGGCTTTGTATGTAGCGCGCTGATGCTAAGATGTGAGATAACACGAAAATTCAATTTTAAATCTTGAATCAATTGAAAATCCGAATATTCGTGGGTTGGGGGAAAGCTTTGGAAAATTCTCATGCATGTGCCAACTTGGATCCAAAACGCGTCGCGCTGATCTCAAGAAATTAGCACAATTCAAATCTGATACTGGATAACTTCCCATAAGGTCTAGAAACCTAGACTATTCTCTAAATGTTTGATGGGCGGAGCTCAAAAATATATTCAGTCATTTTTCTAAACCATAAGCCAAGCAACACAAATCTGTACAATTCTTCTTTGGTGACTTGGATCTCATTTAAGATCTCTCTACTCAACCTCATTCCGTGCCCACTGCGCCTCCAGCCTCAATTGATACAGAATTCAGTGAGGAGAACTGACCAATAACATGAAGACAAGCTGTACTTACGTGCAATCGGATGCCTGGGTGTGTGGTTTGAAGGAGAGCTGCATACATCGTCAACATGATGAAAAAAACTGTCCTACAAAACCCGGTTCAAATGAAAAATGACTTGTCTGTCTTCTACTGTTGACTCCCTATTGTTTCTCGAGAAATACAAGAAAGATGTAGTGAATAGTTCTTCAGGAGACCAGCTACATAGGTTGGTGCATCTTGATAGATCTTGATGCCTTGCTTGATTTGGACGGGATGCTCAGGGATTGATTGTCGGACAATGAAAAAAGGGTTTATGCAAGCGATTTAGAACTAGAAGAGGGGGGGGGAGGCCTCGTCTAGATTAAAATCTAGAAGAGGGTGTTCGATGACAAGCGGAGTTCAACTTTGACAGATTGTGACCCATTTGGCAAACGGCACGGCGGCACGTCAGTTTAGAAAAATAATCTAGGTTTCTAAACCTTATGGGAAGTTATCCACTTGTTCAACGGATGCAAATGACATCTCAGGTGTGATAAGAAAACAAGTATATTTGAAAAAATGAATTGAGTCGAGAATTCCGAAAGCTTTGAGCGTGCCGGTGTGGATCCTGGTTTCCAAGCCCCATGTGAAGGGTCTGAGAAGACAACAAGACCATACCACCATGCGCAGCTCACCACGGTCGCGTTTCTTCGAAGACACGACACCCCAACTAGAGCAAGCTGATTTAAGGCAAGTACGGAAGAAATAAGATAAAAATAGATTGATAATCTCGGCCTGATCCCTGTCCATAAACAGAACAAGGTAATTAGCAATTTTATAACTTCCACTTCTTTCTGTATGCCGACATTGACTCTTCGATGATAGAAACTCGAGATGCGGAACCCGCGCTGGACATAAACAGAGGTAAGATTGACTCTATTTTTCTCCAATAATCCATAAACGCCCTTGATTTCCAACGCCCTTGTGCTGCGACCAAATCGGGTGCCACGCCCATGAGAAGAAGGTGTGTTGCACCACCAATGCGAAAGCCATGACCTGGCATATCAGGCAGTCCGGCAGCAATCCATACCTCGTTACAACGTGCCATAAACCAGCCTTTGGTCATGGGAGACCAGCCGCCATCAGCTGTTTCGAATGAAAACAACGGTGCGTGAGATGGTATGGATTTGCTACATGCAAGATGATGTTTCAGAGCTTTGATAGGACACGAAGGGTCGTCACGGGCCGTAATGGATATGGTTGCGCCCTCGCGAAGCGTTGTCTTGGTCCATGGTATCTGACAGGTACCGTATTCCGTGCTGTTTGGCAGCATATGAAAGGTTAACGAGGTCGAACGGGCGACATGTTTGATAGGGTCAAATAAATTCCTGCTCGGAATAACGAGCTCTCCGAGACGACAGCAACACCAGAAGGCGACACATGCGATAGCCCAGACTGCCGCGTCGAACGCATTGGAGAGGTCCAGGCCGTTACGCAACACATAAAGGTGTTCTATTGTAACAGGAGGACGCTTGGCCCGTTTGGATGATATAGGTACGAGTTTTTGTGCTCCTTTCTTTGCACGGGACAAGATGTCACCTCCATTCCACAGAGCACCATTGATAGTATGCCAGAAGTGAAGGCCTGCGAGCCAATTGTCAATTGTACTCGACGCTACCTTCCCGGCGTGAAAGGCGATGAATGAGGCAATCAATGACTCGGAAGCTGGCATACGGTCGACCTCCGAAATGTTTATACTGTCGCAATACTGCGTGAAGTGCAGCAGACCTGAAGCATAGCCGTCTCGAGTTGCTTGGTCGAGGGAAAAAGCCATGACTTCAAATAGGCGTGTAAAATGTGACTCGGGTAGCGCCTTCAACATATTCTCCCGAAAAATCTGTGTATGAGGTGAGGTCCATTTAAGGAGTCTTTCGCCTGCAACGACGTGAGGACGGAATATGGAAGGGGCTATCTCATTGCCCTTCCGAGGCTTCCTAGGTATCCGTATACGTGTTTGCGGTTGGGATAAAGATGAAGAGCAAATGTCCATGGAGGACGAAAATCGTGATAATTCTGAACGTACATCTACGTTTTTGAGATGGTCGGATAGAGTAGGAAGATCATGCATGATAAAAGTATTTGGAGATTGAGGATGGTATAGAATAGGGAATGGTTACTCGATGCTCGAGAGGCGGAAGGATGCCGCGAGATATAGGATCTGCTAAGTTAATGGAAGATTCTACGTATAAAAGAGAAATGGAAAGGTCACGTTGCTCGAGAGTGGCTTTTACACGCCGAATGCACGAGTTGGATTCTTGATTCCTTGACCATCCTTTCCGGAAGGCGCCAATGACTCCTTCATTGTCGCTACGAATCAGAACATCAAGGTGAGAAAAATGCATCTCGTTGAGAAGCGTGACAATGAGCTCAACAGCTACCGCTTCGAGCCATCCAATATCTCGTCCAGGAGCCTTCCATGATGGAAAGGTCCTCCACGCGTCCCATGAGTCATTAATTAGCAAACCGATACCCCAGTCTGTTGAGGCATCAACCCAAATGTTGAGATCAGAGGTAGGGGGACGCGGAGCAAGAAAGCGAATGATAGACGGCTTGGAAAGTTGAATTGACCACCATTTAAGGTCTGAAATAACGGAAGGAGGAGGAAATCTTGGAGCGAAGTCGCTGGTGAAGGTCGTGAGCCACCAAATGATATTGTTGAGATATGCTCTGCCACGCAAATAGACGAAGGTGATGTGTGATAGCGAGCCGTGCAGAGATTGTATGTCTTTTTTGAGGAATTGGCGTGATAAGGGGGAATCCTGCAAAACGAAGAGAACTTTAGCGAGATGCTTTTCACGTTTGATTTTAGTGAGATAGACAGTCTTCGCGACAAGGTTCCATTCAAAACCAACATAAGAAAAAATATCTCCAAATGGAGAACCCTTTGTTGTATGCCATGGAATCCCGAGTGGGGCAATCATGGCTTTGATGTAATCAAGATCATAGTCATAACGATAGACAGTGCCATCAGAAGTTCCAGAAAATAGGCCGGCCTTGTTCGCATAACGAAAAGCATTGAAATCGTCAACCCATTTGATAACAGGCCCAACGCGGAGACTATGCCAGATGTCAACCGTCGCATCTGCGACCTCTCCTTGTAAACCTGAAGCAGAGGCGAGGCCGAATGGTACATTGTGATCAATATAAAACAAACCCTTGAATTCAACGATCAAGTAACGTTTGGAAGCAGGGCTGACTGGAACCGTGCGGTACGCCCCTTCTACATCAAGGGTGCACGCCTGTGTTCCTGGAGGTGCTGTAGAGACCTACACGATTGACGTATAAGCCATGACTACCAGATGATCAAAAAACGTGAAAGAAACTTGGCCCTAAGTCATTCGTGTCCTTCAAGCAGCTAAGAGTTGTGAACTCCGCCGCGAAGGGCATCCGAACAAGGCTCAAATGAGAGAGAAGATATGTATGTGCGAGTGACATAAAAGAATAGAGAAATTGATAGGTATGATGTAGAACTTACAATTTTAGCACATTCAGATGCCGTTCCCCAACGCGTTGGGTACTCCTCCGAGTTTATGTCATCGTTGACTGAAAACCCCAAGTTTCCCCGATACGAGAGATTGCGACAGCACCGAAATTTGTCAGGCCCACCGGCTTCGCCAGGCTTAACAACGACTTGGATTGGTGATGAACGAAACAGACCGATTTTGGTTTCTAATTCTTTTTGAGTAAACGGACCCGAGAGGCGTCCAAGTTTGAGTTCATCAGCAATGTATTCTTGGATAATGTGATCGTGAGGCGTAGCAGATGCGAGATTGCCAGGAGTAAAAGACATGTTGAGATCGGCAATATTTCTGAGTGGAAAGCCGTGAGATAATTTGAAGCAAAGTTCAGGATACCAATTGAGAATTTGTGCTTTAGATAAGTAAGTGTGAAAAGCGTCCGTGCTATAAGGGGTTATGATTTTTGAGTAATCAGAGTCAGAGTCGTGAGGAGATGATTCGAGACGAAGGTTATCAGAGTATGGCAAGCGATCATTGATTATCAGGTCTGGACAGAATGTAAGATGATCAAGCAGATGATAAAGCGGTAGGGAGAGCAAATGAGCGGAAAGATGAGATGATAAAGCTGTAGAGTCTGGTTCAGATGCATTTGCGAGAACAGGCTCCATGATCGGAAGCACCACAGAAAGAGCAGATGTGATGATCCGAGTGGGACTTGGAGCAGATAGAGAGCCTGTTGAGATTGAAGGCGATACAAATGATAGCTCCGTCGCTTCGACGCACGAGCTTTCGGTTATCATATTTCGCAGTCGTCTGTTTACCAACCTGCGTGATCGACTCTTGGCATGTCGCGAAACGATGATCTCGTTGACAGATAAGGCAGATGGGGGTGGAAGCGCCAGAGGACCGAAAAGAACTGTTGCTAGAGTTTGTGGCGACATTCTCGGTACGACTTCCAGACTGACGAGACGAAGACTCTGCGTTGCGATGATGATAAGGCGTATAACGCGACTTGCCTTTCCAAGAGGAAGAAGACGAAGCGACGTTGTGAACCGATTCGGCATCCGAGACAGACCTCGCTGCCAGAATTTCCGCCTGTAGCCGTGTAGCACCTCAAGCTTAATGGCTTCGAAGCGGCGCCTGTAAGAATCCTCGTCGTGAGGGCTTGGTGTTAGATTATATTTCGTACGAATTTCAATGTCGAATTTGAGAATGGCGGGAAAGTTGCGTTTGAGGTTGTCCTGTTCAGCTAAAAATTCATGGTGCTTCTTCCACCGAATGGCCGAATCCTTGTCGCCATGGGTCTCGACGAAGCGGTGATATCGAGTCCATGCTTCGTGCCAATCCCCGATGTCCATGGAGTCTTCACCCTGGAAGAACTTGATGTCGATGATGTGCCGCTTCAAACTAGTGAGCCTATTGATAACCGTTTTCTGCGGGATAGAAGCCTCGCTTGTATGTAAAGTGTTTGTTGCGGAAGTGGTGAAAAGTGATAGAGGGATATGAGAACCGTTCTCGGCAAGAGAGATAATAAAAGGGTGAATGCCGTAGCCTGTATTGGAAGAAGAGGACGTCGAGGTGGTCTCGTTAGTGACAGAAAAAAGAAGTTTGGGAGCCGAGATGACATCAGGAAGGGGATTGTCTTTCAATGTGTTAGTGAGTGTGTCACGGACGAGTTTTTGTGAAGCAGGTGAAATAGCTTGTAGAGCCGCATATATCTGTGTCATCTTGGGGGCAGCTGGCCCAGAGGGAGGAGTTTTTGAGCGATTGAGGTCTTCCTCTGATGTAACACGAGTTTCGGCGGTGGAGTTGTCGGTAGTGACTGGGTCGATTACGACGCTGGACATGTCAGAAGGGACTTCTTTGTTAGTGGCACCAGCAGGGGGACGTGAAGTGTCAAGATCAGTCATTTTGAGTTTCAATGGATTAAAATGAAATCGGAAAAATTCCGCGAAGGTTAGAATTCGCGGGGGAAATGGGAATGAAAGCGAAGAAGACAGGAATTTTTATTGCTTCGCGAGGTACTTTATCCTCGCAGCGCACAGACCTCAGAAGGCTGTCAACATCACGGAACGTGATAAATCGGACATCTCCGCATTGCGCTTACAAAGCCCCTGCTTGAGTTGTTTCAAGCTCGCAAGCTCGCTCTCCAACTCGAGCCTCAAATCCCGATTTGGGGAGTGTGTTACTTTTCGTATACACTGTCTACACAGCACATTAAAACTTCATAGGGCTTGTTCGGGTCACGCAAGGGTCACGGCGCGCACGGCTGAATAGCTGTTACGCAAACATTACTATATTATTGAGTACGAGTGAAAGGTACATAGTCAGGCTTCTGACAGCGAATCAGATTTTGAGCTGGCGGATGATGACGAGGATTTGTTGGAGGATCAATAAGCACCGGCAGGTAGTAGATCTAGACTAGTAGTGAATGGCTAGTGTTTTTATCAGTGTTTCAAAATTTTATTGTCTTTTTGTGCGCACTTTTATGAGTCTCTTTTTCAACCTCTTTCACGGCCACTTCCAAAACCATTCGCCTGCTTTCGCCACTTTTGAAAGCTAAAACCACTTTTGAAAGAATATGGACTTGGCTTCCTAAAGCGGAACCACTTTCACGCTTTCACCGCTTTCAAAAGCGGTGAAAGCGGCTGAAAGCGATTTTGTGATTCTACTGATGCAGAGAGATTCACATTTGAAGTCGCGCTAACTTGACCTTGGCACACAGCACACAAACTTTAGCATTATTCTTGTTGCATTTAGAGACGTTGTGGAAGTGCAGATTGTTCCATTCGTGGCATCCTGTTTATCTTCATTTTTCACGACGCACCTCTTTTCTGAATTTCCTTCAGATTCTTGTTATTTCCCTACGTCACGCGTCACGACGAACCCTTTCAATAAGCCAAACTTTTTCAACGCGCGCTCGAACGTGTCGACCAGAGAATATCTTAGAGCATTCCGGCAACTTAGTACTGCAAATGCTACTGCGGGACCCTGGATCATGGTTGCTGGTGCCCTTGCCGAGGATGGGCGGAAGCAGTCAAGCAAAAACCGCTTTCGTTATGGATAGCAACCGCGGATACGCAAGAAGGCAGCCGAAGCAGGTATAACCGTACAAGAGGGACATGCGGATATGTTGCTTCGGCAACTCGTGGAAAAAAAATTGGACCTCGTCTGAAATCCTTTGTAAATTAGGTACTCGTACTTCGAATTTGCTTTGAATGACCTGCAGCGCGGTATGGTGCTAAAAAGCACAGTCATCCGTCATTTTCCTCAAAACAAGAACATTTCTCTTTGACTCGCTCTCCCGTGTTCCAGTGCCTGTGCTTCGCACACAGATGGCATGTTAGCCCATTAAATTCTGAAGGGTTCAAAATCAATTCAAAATTTAATCATTTCTCGAACAAGACATATCCAGAGTCGTACCCAGAAAATCATATCACAACAGCATTCACCGATTTGCCGAATCCCCATGAGGCATTCCCCTATCAGGTCCCCCCACAAACGCACGAGCACCTAGCCTGAGGCTGACCATCTATCGATCGAAAAACACAGCAACTAGTCATTGACATGTATTTCTTCTCTACCGGAGTTACTACGTAGTGGCTTTCGACATCTCATCGGCTTCTGACTGCACGCTGTTGCAGGTCGCTGACGTCAATACCGCCTTTCTTAGCGAGCCAGATCCTGATTTCTTAATAGCCCTCATCACCTGCATCTACAACAAACCGTGGGTCTTGAAGCAAGAGTCACGGCTGAAATTGAGTACTCACCATATCAATCATCCAGGACGAAAGAATTTGCGACTCAATCAAGCTTTCTGTGGGGACAGCGAATAGTTCCGGAGTCAGCCTATTTACAATCTTCTTCATCATGATTTTTTGCTGCATAGGGTGGAGTCTTCTCCAGGCAATTTCGATCTCTGTCTGATGCCGCCTGGATGTGGGTTGACGTTGATAGCTGAATATCTTTCACTAAAGAAATGTGACTACATACGTGTCATTCACCATTTCCAACACTGAATCCCTTGCAGCGATAATCATTTCTTCCGGGATGGGAGCCATGATGGAGAAATGTTGATGGGAGTTGAGAACAAAGGACAGGAACGACACTGAACACTTCGGACCCCGATTGTTTTGGGTTGTAGGCAAGTTGTAGGCGCACCGGATCATGGTAGCGTTGCCCTTGCCGAATGAAGCAAAAGCTTCTCACGACGACTATATCTCCATGACCGCTATCCTACGTGGCCTCGCCTGGCTGCGCGACTCAATTGCCAACCAAGCCGAGCGATTCTTCCTCAGAGTCCTCGCAGCGGGCCCGGTGCCCAGACATGTCGCTTTCGTTATGGATGGAAACCGCAGATACGCTAGAAGGCAGCAGAAGCAGGTACAAGAGGGGCATGCGGACGGGTATGTTGCTTTACGGCGGGTGAGTTTTCCCTGCTTTTCTTTTTGGGGAACCACGACTGACGAGAAGAGAACAGATGTTGGAGGTTTGTCTGGGTTGGAATGTTCAGTGCGTCAGCGCGTACGTGTTTTCAATTGAAAACTTCAAACGCTCCGAAGATGAAGTGGAGGCGTTAATGCAGCTAGCGGAAGAAAAGCTGCTGGAGCTTTGTGAACATGGGTGCGTTCCTCATTCTGCCTTCCTTCATTTCGGCGCTTCACAGCCTTCCGGCCACCTAACAGGGACATTCTTGATGAATACGGTGTCAGACTCAATGTTTTGGGTAGAACGAGTCTCCTGCCAGAGAAAGTCCAACTCGCAGTTCAAAAGGCGGAATATATAACTCGACGTAATACACGGTACATCTCACCCTCGCTCCACTCCACCAACCTGAACCATAATACACAGCGCTATCCTCAATCTCTGCATGTCATATACATCACGCGACGAAATAACAACCGCCGTTGAATCGTGTGTCCGAAACGCTGACCCTTCAAACCCGTGTGTTCATCTCTCTTTCACCCCTACTGTTTCTCCCTACTCATCGCGTATTTAACTCACTCAGGCAAATCACCGAAGAGGACATCGACGCTTAACTAATGACATCATTAGGCTGCAGTCCCCCACTCGACATCCTCGTAAGAACGAGCGGGGTCAAACGGCTGAGTGATTTCATACTGTGTCAGGTACGCTCGACTTTTTCCTCAATCAATCAGAATACCTGGCGATAGTGTCGTTAGTGTTGTGAAGATACTCAGATCCAGATCTCTTCAACTTTCTGGCCGGACCTCCTTGATTTTGTACCTATAATCCTCGACTTCCAACGGAAAGCGGGGGGAAGTCGGATATCTCTGAAATGAGGTAAATGGGATTAATGGTAACCGATCATTGTAGTTTGATTGACCATAGACAAGTTCCAGGTGCTTGTGCAACACAAAACAAAACAAAAAATTACGCTAGCTGCTTTTTTGAGTGAAAATGCTGCTCTTTGTGGAAGCACCATCTCACTGGTGCTGTGAAATCGAGGATGGCGCTGGATGGCGGTACGTATATGGCGCCCAGAGACCACCCACAACCAATGCTGGATCAGGTCTTAAGCTTCACAAAATGTGTACTCCCTTTACATGATTTTTGCGAGCGAAGCGAGCATTCCTTCACTAAAGCGCTGAAAGTCCGGACAAACAAGTACAAATTTTCCATTCGCAAAGGTCGAAACTTTTGGCGGGGAAAAAGAGTGTTTTATGGATATCTCATGCATTTCTGGAACTATTCAGATGAAACTTGGCAAGTATGTTCATGAAGTATACCTTTACGCACCTATCACAAAAAAAAATGCACATTGTCTTATGTATTGCATGTTAAATCAACCCTCAAACTTAGGTGGCATTTTCAACAATCTTCTGAAATGACATAAGAAGAGCTAGACTGTTTAAACGTTTGCATCAGAGTCATTTGCACATCTTGGATGTCTTATTATATGTTTTTTTTTAGTTGTTTCCCCCCTAGCATTCATTTTCAAAGTTGGGACAGAGTCGCGTTAATCCTCGTTAACGCGACTTTGGCCACCTCGACCCAGGCCTCCGCAGTGGGAACTGTCGTCACAGTCGTATTATTCAAAGGTCTAAAAAACTTGAGTGCAACAAACTAGTTGTGCGAAGCGAGCCTAACCCCCGCGGGACTCGCGGATCCATTTTATTGACGGCTACGCAGCTAGCCTCAACATTGGATGGACCGGAACTTTCATAAAATTAGTGTTTTTAGGAAAAATCTCTCAATTTTTTGTTTGTTCACAATAGCAACCTTCTCCTTTACAGATTCTGTATGGGTACCAGAGAACTGACTTACCTATTACACGAGGGGGGAGAATTAGCCGTGTTCAGCAATTGGGCAATTCAACGTTGATCAAATGCCGGTAAGCTTATATAATCCGACAAAACCCACGCAATCATCTTGTTGTACTTAGCCTTATTTGGCGCACACGACGACATGCACGCCAGAATGGGTAGAGAAATTTCGCGGACTTCAGGAGGGAAGACATTGAGAAAACATATTCCTATGTCTTCTCTAGAAAACCCCGTCCAGTCACATTTTACTCGAGTAGAAAGGGAAATTTTCGACAGATTCTACGTGAGGAAATTTTCTTCTTATCTGACGAGAGAAGATTCTCATATTTACATAATTGTAGACGTTTTCCCACACAACGCGCTTCTGTGTTCACCAGACCACAATCATGCTTGATAGACGCCCGCCTCACTTCCTGTTCCTTCCTCTTCGTGACGACGGGCAGTCTTCAGGGAAGGTCGAACCATGGGTGCTGCACCATCCACGCCTGCAACCCCTGCGACTACTCCAGTTGCAACGTCTCCAGTAGACGAAGTAAGTGTGGTCCAATATAGCGCAGCAGTCTAACAACTTGGGGGGCTACAGACTCGGACACCAGTGGAAGCGCCTGCAAAGGATGGTAAAGGAGGAGTGAGCACATTGTCGATTCAAGCCAGCGTTTCAGTCTCATCACTCGAGGGTTGTAGGCAGGTTCCGAGGTGCCCAACACCTTCAGACCTCGTTATCGTACGTCAAAGGGATTAACTCCATGACGTTACCTGCCCTCAACCATGTTTATATAGTTTACTATCGTCTCTATCAAGCAGATGGCGCAATTGAATCAAGAAGCCCCGCCTACCTCAACGACCATTTCCTCGGCCGTATCTTATCCAAAGCCGTCACACCTCCCCATACCGCCGCGTCTCTTAAGAATTACATATGCAAGATTGAAGGATTTTCGGGAGTGAACATATACTCATCGCTTACAAGCCCAACCGCCCTGAATGATGGCGCTCGCATTGCTATCATGAGCTATTCCGGACCGGGTTCGTACGAGAAAGAGCCCATGTTTTTACTCGTCATTAGTGCCGAGAGACGGACGTCCAGTGGCTTTCCGCAACCTTCGGTGACCCTCGAGAATCCGGCCAATTCGCAGTACAGTGAAGTGTCTTCTGTTGCCGTCCCGTGCTTTCTAGGCACTTATTACCCTTTGTTGCAGTCCACTATCGTTTCTATAATCAAGACGGCGAGACTCCTTCGAAAGCATGCTTTGACGAAGAAGATACAGCTTTAGGGCGCATCCTTGCACTGTCCATCGCGCCCCCTTTCAACGCTGCCTCATTGACACGCCGGCTTGTTAGAGCAGAAGGCATCAATAACAACAGCAAGTCATTGCAGCTGTTCGAGAATATAAGCAGTGACGAGCCCATGAACGATAGCGATGATATATCTATACTCAGCGATCGGTATCCAGGATACACCGTGGATGAACCGATGGCCTTCATTATTCGCGATTCAAGTTCCCTGATTCCCGAGTCACCAGAAGTACCGACTGTCCAGTATCCGGGGTACACAGCGGATGATGCAGAACCGATGGAGCCACCAAAAATACTAACTCGTTTCTTGTTTAGGTTCAAAGCTATTTCATCTTTTGGTGGGTCCCACACTGGTCGTATACATTGTACAATTTACGTCTATTTTCTCAGAATCCCCTCAAGATCATCCCACTTGGTTAAGGGTTGTCAAGGGCGAAAATTTGACCTCGGACGGCGTCGAGATTAAGATGGTCGATTTCAGGAAGGGTAAGCCGTCGCACAACGTTCAACTTAGTTTTTAATTCTGATCGAAGGGACATTCAACGGTTACATGATGAGAAACTCAGCTGGTGAAGAGGGATGTGAGTGTCTGTAAAATCCTCATCGTGCCAGCAGAATGTTGACAGGCTTTTCCTCTCCTTTCAGTCGTGTTGTACTGTGAGTATTTATCCGATTTATACCATATCATGAAGGTAATTTAGGGCGTTTCGACAGCCATAATCGTATATCTATATTGACTTGATGTGGCTTTTGTTCAACTTGAAGCGCCAAGAATCTTTGACGTCAAAGGGTGTTCAGGCAGAATCCGCTTGAGCCGCGAGCGCCGCTATCCAAAGGGCTAGTTATTTCGCCGACTACTCTTGAAGCGGGTCTGGAAGTCTGCCAATAATAAACCATGTTCTTAAGTGTACCATGTATCATGAACGTCTTCAAAACGTCAAAGCTTCACTAACTAACCCGGTATGCTACGGCAATCTATTGCCGGTGCTCTCTTCAATATAACGTCTTTTCTTCCTGACCATCATCACCACCATCTTCTGCTCCTTATTTTTCCTTCGTTCTTTCGTCCGCCTCCCCAGGCCTAATCGGAATGCTCTACGGCCGCTACGGTGCAGGTATGACAGGCACACGAAACTCTTGATGATTTGAAGTAAGGTCTCAGGCTGGGCTATCGCTTCACACCACCGGTCTTTGAAGTATGTTTCCTGTCTCTTGAATGCCGCTCCCTGACATTATTGCCCATCCCATTTAATATTTAGTTGCTGTATCCTTGCGCAATGGCGCGCTAATTTTTACAGGTGCCAATGATTTATTTCCATCACCTGTATGGGCGCCAAATGGGCGCATATACAGTTTGTCGGGTGCTCTGGCGCTTGGGACAGCTTTTAGTGGTTGGCGCATTTCCGAGCTGCAGCGTACTCCAACGCTTCATGTATAGCTCTGAAAATTCAACGAGGGATACCTCTTGCCATGCGTTATCTAGCAAAAGGTGAGCATCATCGTCTCGCTTGCCTCTTTTGCATGCACGCATTGTCAGTTGCATTAACCATGGTCAACCTTCAACGGCGCCGGCTGATAACTTACCTCAAGAACTTCCGTTGATGACAGACGACTTTTGCGCTCAAAAATATAGACAAGGATACAGATATCATGTAAATGATAACATTGGGGTAACACAGAAACAAAGACCTAATGCAATACGGATGTTGTGGACATTCGGGAATCGGATGGGATACAAAACAGAGGCGAATCGGATAAAAACGTGAGTGGGGCGTAATCAAGACGACGAGGACAGGAAGAGCAGTTACAAAAAGAAATTCAAGATACAGAGAAGACGAGAGACTTTGAAATCATTCCGGCGGGGTAGTTGCAGACGAGAGGTCAGGTCATGACTCATGAGACAACAGGACAGAAGCAATGACAGCGAGGTATTATTCAACTCGTCAGAATTACTGGCCTCCGTAATTCCAATGTGGCGTTAGTCCTTGATCATTGAAGTATTCTGGCAGAGGTGGACCACAGTATTGTGCTGGGTGTCCTGATCCTTGGACAAATTGTGCCGGAGATTGAGCGTAACCCGCCGGTCCTTGCGCATGGCTGTACGCCGATCCTTGAACAGGTTGTGGTGGAGCGTTATTAAATCCTGATGGTGTGTTAACATAGTAGTTAGGCGCCACAGGACCAGCATAGGCCCAAGCCTGAGACGGACTTGCGACTTGGAGCGTAGCATCATAGGCAGGGGGACGGACTCGATGATAAGGCCGCGAACCGGCAGGTCGAGTGAATGTAATACCCTCCCGCTCAGGACTGCCCCGGGAGGGCATATCTTCATAAGACTCGTACGGACCTCTTGGAACGGGAAGGTTGGGAAATTGGCGAGGCGGCGATTGCGAAGGGCTTCTGTTAGCTATTTCCGATTGCTGTGCCGTTCGTGAAAAAAGCATCATGAGGGGGCACTAGCAAATCAACGATCCTGATAACCCAGTGTATACGAAAAGTAACACACTCCCCAAATCGGGACAGCGACACATAGGGTCATAACGCGACACATAGGGTAAATTGCCGACACATTGATGTGTTCCTCCTTTCTAATGTGTCGATTTTACATGTGTTCGACACATCTGAATGTGTCGAATCTATGTCATCGTGTGCCTGCTCATCTGGCCAACTTCAGTTTCTTTTTTTTTATTACAAGTCCCCCTGTCCAAGTCCTTCTGTACCCAGGTAAATGGCAATATAATATGTATTCCTTATCTACGAGAAACACTTTACATGGGAAGGTAATAGTATATAGAAGTAGGAAGTATCAACGTAGGAGCACCACGTCTCCCCTTCAATAACGACCCCTTGCTAATCGATTGTTTTGGGCTCGTGTTCGGGTTGTGTTCGTACGTCGGGGCTGGTTGTGCACGCTGGCGTTAAGCTCAACACGTCGGTGTTGGTTCGTAGAGGGGGGCGTTGGGTCATGTTATGTCGGCATCACGAGGTTTTTCTGGTGATATGGGGTATGCGAGGAAGAGAGTGGGGGTGGAGGATGGGGGCAGGCTGGGGAATTGTCGATGGTGCGATTGGGTTTGCCAATCGTGGTCGTGGGCACCCGTGTCCGTTTGTCGAGGGTGGTGATGAGCCCCCGTGGCCCCGTGGACATTAGTGGGCGCTCGTCGTCGTCCGTCGATCGTGGGCCCTCGTGGCCATCCGTCGATCGTGGGCGTGGGCCGTACATAGAAGCTTGTCAATTGTGGTGGTGGGTCCTGGTACCCAATCGTCAGAGATCGTGGTGGGCCATCATCGGCGTTCCTCGATGGTGGTGCTGGGCGCGCGTGGATGTTGGTGGGCGCTCGTCTCCGTCCGTCGATGGTGGTGCTGGCGGGCCCTCGTGGCCGTTTGTCGATCCTGGTGGTGGGCCCCGTGGACGTTCGTTGGTGGTCGTCGCCGTCCTCA